GGGTATAATGAAGCCAAAAAAATTGGGTTCCTGAATATTTCTCAAATCCAGATACCATACCGAAATTGGGATAAAGGAATATCAGGAAATAGTGATGTTTTTTGGGTTCAATATACCCATTCCCCAAAAATACCAAGAGTTTTTCTTTTTCTTTTTTGTACACCCCTAGTTGAGAGAGGGACAGTATTCAGAAAGTGCTTGGGTTGGCTCCAGTGCAAATTTCTGCTTCTGCTAGAGCCTTTGTACAAGTGGAAACACAAGCAAAGGACTGTGGCAGCTGCTTCCACAAAATCAAACATATAGTATCCCCACTTACATTTCTGCTTGCAGAAGGCCTTGGCAACAAATTTCTGGGCACTATGATATATAGATGCTGCAGAAGATCTTGAGCAAGCAGATCTGTACTAAATTTATCTTTCTGCTTGTGCTTTGCTTGATCTAAGCCATTATGTCCAAGCTGCATGGTTAATACTGAGCTTGCAGTTCCTAGGATGATCAGCTTGCTCAGTGGCACTAAACACATGCAGGAATCCCCAAGGCACCTTGCACCCCAACCAGGACTGTGTATGTTCCTGTCTGACGTTTTTTTTAAAAAATAATTTTTTATTTAATCTCAAAGTTGGAAGACACAACCATGGTCATCTAGTCCAATCCCCTGCAAAAGCAGAAGTAAACCTCCAATGATGAAGAATCCACCACTTCACAAGGGAGACTGTTTCAGTGTTGAACACATCTGACCGTCAGAAAGTTCTTCCTCAAATTTAGATGAAACCTCAATTGCTGTAGTTTATATCCATTAGTCTGGGGCTTATCATCAAACACAACTGAAAACATATCTGCCCTATCCTCTGCATGACATCCCTTTAGGCAGGGGTCTTTTGGGGCCGGAGCACGCTGGAGCACTGCTCCGGCAGCCCGTGTGGCAAGCCCCGACCCCGGGGACCCCAAGCTCACGCAAGAGCACTGCGGCTCAGGGGAGGCCGGGAAAGCCCTGCCCCCAGTTGTCTCAAGCGCTGCGGCTCGGGGGATGCCCAGAGAGCCCCGTCACCATGTCCCCTGAGCCCGCGTGGGAGCGCTGTGGCTTGGGGGACACCGGGAGAGCCCCATCGCTGCGTTCCCCGGCTTGCGCAGGAGCACTGCTGCTTGGGGGATGCCTGGAGAGCCCCGCCGCCGGCACCCCTGACCCCTGCCGAAGCGGTAAGTAAGGGATCCGCTGGGGTGGGGGTGGCAGGGGCTTGATGGGAGGTGGTGGGAGAGCCTCCCTCCCTCCATCTCTTTGCCATCTTTCCCTCCTTTCTTTTTCTTTTTCTTCCCTCTTTCCTTCCTTCTTCCCTTCTCTCTTTCTTTCCCTTCTTCTCTTCTCTTTTTTCCTCTTTTCCCTGTTTCCCTCCTTCTTCCCTTCTCTGTTTCTTTCCCTCCTTCTTTCTGTTTCTTTCCCTCTTTCCTTCCTTCTTTCCTTCTCTCTACTCTCTCTCTTTCCTTCCATCTTTCCTCCTGTGGCCCAACTGTAGTGAGAAGGGGTTTAAAGCTGACTATCTCCGTTGACTACGATAAAAACATGTGTGTGATTTAATTGATATATGTTGTCTTCCCTTACCCCCAAGCATTGTTAGTCCCATGTGATATTCATGAGTAACTGTACATCACTCAGAGCCGGCAGCTCTGCATGGATTGAGCGATTAATAAATGGAAAGATTAAATGGAAAGATTATTAAACCCCTTCTCTCTTCGCTCCCCCCCCCAAGCTGGGGGAGGGAAGGTTTTTGAAGATGCCTCCTCCCCTTTTGCTTCCCCTTCTGTCATTACTTCCGGTGACGTCAGGGGGCATGGCCTATGCTAATAGCCCAGTAGCTCATTAGCATATCATATGCTAATGAGCTCCTGCAGCTCTTTTTTCTACGAAAAGACCCCTGCCTTTAGGTATTGGAAGGTGACAGTGATATCACCTCACATGTCTCTTCTCCAACTCAGAGATGCCCTGCTCCTTCATCCTCTACTCACAGGACATGGGCTCCAAGCCCTCATCAGCTTTGTTGCCCTATGCTGGACTTCTTCCAGCTTATTAACATCTTTCCTAAACTGTGGTGTCCAAAACTGAACACAGTGCTCCAGGTGAGCTCTATCCAAAGCAGTGTACAGCCGTACTAATACCTCATCTGACCTTGACATTACACTTCTGTTAATGCAGCCTAAAATTAAATTAGCCTTTTTTTAACCACTGCATCACACTGCTGGCTCATATTAAGCTTATGAACAACTAGAAGCCCCAACTGGTACTACCAGACAGGTTTTACCCATCTGATATTTATATAACTGATTATTACTACCCAACTGCAACACTTTACACTTGTCCCTATTAAACTTCATTTTTGCAATATACTGGGTTCGAGACTCGTATAGTGATCAGCTCATAGTTTATTAGTGATTTCAGCTTAACTCTAAGACAACTCTAGCAGGGCTGGAGCCCTGCTTATATGCATGCAAAACACCTCACTCCACACACACACACACTCCCCGTGATAGGCTATTTACAAAACATTACTACTTGATTGGTTTATTCTGGAGTCCTGGTCGGCTATTGTTCTTGTGCTCCAAGCTCAGTCAGTCTCTAGGGTGATTCAATCAGCCAGTCTCTAGGGTGATTCAGTCCCAATACATAACAGCTTTATTTGCCTGGGCCCAATCCTCCATTTTATCTAAATCCAGCTGCATCCTATTTTTGTCCTCTAAGGTATTCACTACCTCACCCAATTTAGTATCATCTGCAGACTTGATGAGTACATTCTGAACTTCATTTTTTAAGTCATTTATAAAGATGTCAATCAGCACTGGGTCCAAAACAAAACCCTAGGGTTGCCAAATCGGGCCGGGGGGCGGGGAATCCCCCGCTTCCGCGGCCCGATTTCCGCCGCAGGGGAATTTCGGCCCGGGGGAACCCCGAGCTCGTCAGAGGGGAAAACCATATGGTTTTCCCCTCCGGCGGGCCCAGCCACGCCCCCAACGTCAGCACGTCGCCCGTCACTTCCGGCGATGTGCTGCCGGCGCGCGCGCACATCCGGACGACTCCCGGACCGCAGCGACGCTCCCCCGCCGCGGGGGGAAGAAGATTTGGCAACCCTACAAAACCCTGAGACACTCCACTTCTCACCTCCCTCCAGGATGATGGGGAACCTTTGGGTACAATCTACCAACTGATTTCAACATCCTAATTTTCAGATTAAACACTCTCCACAAAGCCTTTTCTTCAAAAGACATAGCCCCGATCTTGGGTCTCAAACGCACACATCTTGGAGTTCCCAGAATATTGTGTAAAAAAAAAAATCCTTCCCTATTCAATCCAGATTGATATGACTTTCCCCCCCTGCTTTGGCCTCTACTCCCATGCCTATAATTCACTGCTCACCACAGTCTGACATTTCTCCAGCAACCAACCCTAGGTCACTTGACAAAACTGATGCCAAGGTTAGACCCCACCAAACATCAGTGCCATCTTCAGTTCCTGTTTGGTTGGATTATTGTCTGTTGGCCAAGTTGCTGAAAGTACTTAGTCCTTATGTACTATTGGCAGCTTTTTTAGTAAATGCAGGAGTTATATTATTTTCAGCCATGTGTTTAAGAGAAAAGAGAACTTCCTTGTCTTTCCTCCCCGCTTTTGCCTGGAGGCATCCTAAATCTAAACCCAAAGATGAAAAGGAATGCTAGTATGTTTTATTCCATTTATTAAGTAGTTGAAACCTTGTCATTCTATCTGTTGGCTTTGTACTTGATCTCCTGTGAAACCTCTGCCCCATCTCCACAGTGGATAACAATTTTATGTTAGTTATGATGGAACTATTCCATATTTGCAGAGCAAAAGAAAAGGAACAGTCTTCAGTCCTTGCTCTAACCACTGCCACTGAATGCTACATATTCGGAACTTCCTTCATACCCCAATGCATAGTTCTTTTTATTTATTGTTCTTTCTCTGTAATAGGGACACATCAAAGGCATCTAAAATGTATCCTTAAAAAATTCTTTGTGCCAGTCTGAGGCTACAAAAATATAAAAGGGATAGGGAAGCAGTCTAAAGATGCAAGATCATGTTCCCTTCTGATTCTTTTGCACATGTTGACAACCCTCCTGTGTAGTCATTTTCAGACACTGCACAGATATGCCAGGTCATTAGGAGTAAATGTTAATGCCCAACATTAGAGCATAAGGAACTAAGACACATGTTCAGTATTTTCTGGGGGGGGGGGGGAAGAGATCCTTCCCTTCTTTAAAATAAAGATTCATAGAAGCTTTCATTTGGCAAAGTAACCTCACCAGAGGAGGAGGGGCACTGAAGTATGTTATGAACTGAAGTACGTTAAAAATAGCGAACACAGTCTTTCTCAGAGTTTTCTGAAAGATATTACAGAGCACAGTTTGCTATACTTTTGGCAACACAAAAAGAAACATGCTAAGACAAAATGTACACTGCAAGCTACTTGGTAACAGCCTTATTCTCTTTTCAGTCAAATAATCATACATCACACCACCTGCAGTTATGAGAAACAGATAGCATTCACAATATCCTCTACATCAAGGCTGGGTCAGACACACTAAATAATCCACTTTCAATCCACTTTCAGTGCACTTTTCTACTGGATTTTACTGTGTGAATTAGCAAAATGAAACTGGGGAAGGTTTCTCTTGTCTTCACACAGTCTCAGCTAAACTACAAAGCTAAGCTTCCTTACTCACAGTTTCCACAGCAGAGGGGAAAGTTGGGAAAAGGAGTATGTTTATGTGGGGAGAGTGCCAAAAGTAGCACCTCTTCATAAGCTCAGAAGTCCGGTGAAAAGTCAGAAAGTCAGCAACCTCAGCAGGTAATGCTTTCTCAAGCAGACAGAGCAACAGATTTCCAGCTTCCTCCTACTGAAACAATTCACTGAACACAAAACAGTCCCTTCAAGCCTTAGAACAAAGGGACAACAATGCCAAGAGAGCAGCATGGAGAAAGAACAATAGTCTCTTACCTTTCTTTCCTCAGAAGCCAGATGAAAGGACAAGGTCTAGGGTATGCAGGGGTGGGGAGAAGAAGATGCACTGTTGCTTTCAGAGCAGCACGAGGCCTACCCTGCCTTCAGAAGCTGCCCCTGTCAGATTTTCCACCAGCGGAATTGCAGCCAAGTCCCTGCCCATGCCTGAAGAATTTCCTGAACAGCATTCCCGTTCTTTTTCTAACTGCTTTGAAACCACACTCTGTCTTTTACTTCAATAAGGCTTTGTCAGGCCAAGTTACAGCTACTGGTCTGGCTCCAGATATCAATTGGCAACACATGTGTTTTGCATTACAGAGCCCCCTTCCCCACATACAAACACGCCCCTGCGCAAAACACAGGGACTCTGTGTGTTTAGTGTTGGAAACTATAAAGGGAATCATTTCAGTAACAAATGTAGATGTTATTAATATTTTCTCTTCAAGAGTGGGAGGTTCCTCTGCCTTACTTATGCCTTGCATCAAAGATCCTGAGCTAACCTCCACTGCTGTTATGTCAACTTTCATGGCTTTTCCAAATTGGAAAAGGAGGGGAATTCAGATTTCTGTTTGGGACCACCCTTCCTTTACCTATGGTTCTGCCTTGTTTTAATTTCAATTGCGAAAAAGGAAGGCTTATTTTTAGAATCTCTCAGCACATTACTGCTATAAACTAATACTGTCATACATGGCTGTAAACTGCCTGTGCTAAAAATACTACAATTATATCTGAGCTCTCTCACTCTTTTATACACTGAGAGTCCCACACAGAAATCCTGAAAACATTTTCTCATTACACATGAAAAGTGGTTGTTTTGGCTGAAAAGAGGGTGGGTGAGGAGGTTAGGTAGGGAAGTTGTTGTACCTTTTGTCAGGAAAGGGTTCCAACTCTTGATATTTTTCATTTCCAGATGATACCATAGATCAAGATGCTGAATAACTTCTGCTGCTTAAGATGGCATATGTTTGTGCAGCTGAAGCACATACAGAAATATACATAAATCTGTCCTTCCTTCCTCTATCTTCTCTATAGTCAAGCATTCCTGGAGGGGGGAGCAGTAGCAGAGTTGTCAAGGTAACAATATAGGAAAGATAATTTAGGAGAAAGAAGGGTTCCCCCCCTTAAATACTTAAAATGTAGGACATTTTACTGTTTCTTATGCATTCCTTTGAATGCTATAAAAAGAGTCTTAAAATGCATTAAATATAATTGAACCACCCCCTACTCTCTCCATGAACTCTTGTGCTTTTCAAAACTACTCGGTCTCTCCTCCCCACTTATTCTCTGTGTGGTAAGCTACTTGGGCTTAGTATAAATAAGTGGGATCCCACAAGGAACCAAAGAGGTGAAGAAACCCCATTTTCTCCTTTATTTCCCCCTCCCTGTGGATGGCTTATCCAATTGCACAGTTCTGCATAGGGGTCAGCACTTCTCAGTGAAATACAGTAATATGCCGAATGCATGCTCATTGCTGTTTGAAGTCAATTCTACCAAGAGAATAACAGCTCCTAACTGAAAGGGTGGGTGGAAAATGAGGATCATCCTGCTCCGGCTGAGATCAGTTCTGCTCTCTTTTATTTAACTATTGTTTCTTATTTCTAGCTTTTAATCTCTCACCAATCCACCCTTCTACTTCCTCCGACTACTATCATTATCATAAACTGACTATTGTATGTTTTTTAAGAAGATACTCCCATCAGTTTCTGCTTTTGATATAGCTTCTACTTTAGCCTCTTTGTCTTCTACGCAACTTGAATCAAGCTTTTTTAAAAAACCTTTTTTAACCTCCTTACTCTGCCTTATAACTGCTTCAATGAATGTTTTTACTAACCACTTTTCTGCCGTTGTGTGTACAACAACCAAGTCTAAAGACACTGAGAGTTCCATGTCCAGGGCTATTTCAATTCAGGCAAATGTTGTGCAGATATGGTCCCAGAATGAGTGAGGCCCTCATAGGGTTGCCAGCTTGTATAAGTAAATGCATGGAGATTTTAGAGGTAGTGCCAAAGGAAGGAGATGTTTTGGGTGAAATGTAGTCACTTCTGGGTGACAATTACCAGAGACTGGGGGAATTCCTAGAACAGCAAAGAGGATTTGATTTTACTTCTGGGTGATGCTCTAGGATTGCTCTAGGAATTCCCCAATCTCAATGATGTTTACCACAGTGATTTGGGTAAATTCCTACAGTGTCACCATCAATGTCATCTGCCCCAATTTTCTTCAACTCAAATTATGGAGGGTATAAGATCATAAAAACATAAGAGAAGCCATGTTGGATCAGGCCAATGGCCCATCTAGTCCAACACTCTGTGTCACACAGTGGCCAAAACCCAGGTGCCATCAGGAGGTCCACCAGTGGGGCCAGAACTCCAGAAGCCCTCCCATTTGTGACCCTCCAAGCACCAAGAATACAGAGCATCACTTCCCCAGACCAGGCCCGTAGCCAGGATGTCTTTTGCCGAGGGGTATTTAAATTTCTCGGGGGAACACCTAATTGGTTTAATTAAAGATAATTAAATTAAATGCCCCATTGCTTTTCACCCAGCCGCACACTGATAGCCTCCTCCTCTCCCCCCCCCACAAAGGGGGCTTCCGCAGCCTGGACCCCCAAACCCCAGCCGACTCTCTTTCTCAGTAGGCAGGGCAGGCAGATGGGAAGGGAAGGTGGTGGAGGAGTGTGCTGGTGTGCTCGCCCTCTTGGAGAGCCCCCAGCAGCCCACTTGGAGAGTTCCCAGCCAGCCACCACTCTCCATTTTACAAGGGCTGGGTGGGGAAGGAAGGTAGTCTCCACTTTCAATCCCTGGCTCAGCTCAGTGGGAGAAGGGAAAGGCCTCCTCCGCAGCACCCACCGCTGCCACTTCCTCCGCCAGCTGCTGCCTCCTCCTCCTCGTATCCCACAAGGCAGCTTGGGCTGCTCTTGCTCCCTCAGTGCCATCTCTCTTTCCCAAGGCACCTCGCCAGGAATGTGAGATCAGAAGCAGCGGCAAGAGGAGGAGGAGGAAAAGGAGGAGGCCTTGCGGGTGGCCAGCCATGTCATTGGGTATCGGGGGGCCAGGCAGGTGGGAGAAAAAGGGAGCTGAAAGCCTAGCCATGGATGAGACTGAGGAGCCAAAGCCACACCTGATGCCACTGCCATCACCGCCCTGTGCTGGGGGAGGCTGACGAAGCCTACTGGGCTGCTGCTGCTCCTCCCTCAGCAAAGACCACAGCGCAGCAAGGTGGAGAACCTCTTGCATGCCAGCCTGGCTCACCACTGCCACTTCAAGCTGGGATTGCCTCCTGCCTCCTTCTCTCTGGATTCTCTAGAAGGCAGGAGGAGTCAAGGTAACTTCCCCAGTAGGGCCACAGCTGGAGTAGCAGCAGTGAGTTCTCCAAGCAGCCCAGAGAGTCGGAAGTCATGGGGCCTTAGGAAGAAGTTGGAGGGCCAGACCCCAGAAGGCCCCACCATAGCTACAGGCCTTCCCCAGACATCTGTTTTTCCAATCCCCTCTGGAAGCTGTCTATGCTTGTAGCCACCACCACATCTTGTGGCAGCGAATCCCAAGTGTTAATTACTTTTTGGGTGAAGACATATATGTTCTAAGCTTATTGCTCATTAATTTCATGGACTGCCCATGAGTTTTTATATTGTGAGACAGGGAGAAAAGTATTTCTTTCTCTACCTCCTCTGTCCCATGCATATTTTTGTAAACCTCTATAATGTCACCTTTCAGTTTGGTGTAGTGGTTAAGTGTGCGGACTCTAATCTAGGAGAACTGGGTTTGATTCCCCACTCCTCCACTCACACCTGCTGATGTGACCTTGGGTCAGTCACAAGCTCTGGCACAGCTGTTCTTGAAAAAGAGCAGTTTGTGTCAGAGTTCTCTCAGCCCCACCCACCTCACAGGGTGTCTGTTGTGGGGAGGGGAAGGGAAAGGAGTTTGTAAGCCGCTCTGAGACTCCAAGTGAAGGGCGGGGTATAAATCCAATCTCTTCTTCTTCTTCTTCTTCTTCATTTCTCCAAGCTAAAGAGCCCTAACCTCTTTAACCTTTCTTCATAAGGAAGGTGTTCCATCCCATTAATAATTTTAGTCACCCTTTCCTGCATCTTTTCCAATTCTATATTATCTCTTTAGAGGTGTGGTGACCAGAACTGTGAACAATATTTCAAATGAGATCACACCACATGTTTACACAGGGGCATTATGATACTGGCTGATTTGTTTTCAATCCCCTTCCTAATAATTCCCAGCACAGCATTTGTCTTTTTTAAATTGCAGTCATACACTGGATCGACAATTTTAGTGAGTTATCTACCATGACTCCAAGAACTGTCTCCTGGTCAGTTACTGCTAGTTCAGATCCAGTCAGTGTATATTTATACTTAGGTTTTTTGTCGGATCCCTCTGGAGCGCCTCCCAGTCCTCCCTGGTTCTCAGTGCCCTGAACAACTAAGTGCCATCTGCAAACTTAGCAATTTCACTGTTTACTCCCAACTCCAAATCATTAATGAACAAGTTAGAATACACTAGACCTAGTACTGAGCCCTGCAGTACCCCACTGCTTACCACCATCCACTGTGAGAACTCTGTTTCCTGTTAATTAACTAGTTTTAATCCACAAGAGGACTTGTCCTCTTATCCGATGACTGCTGAGTTTACTTCGGATCATTTGATGAGGAAATCTTTCAGGAGCTTTCTGGAAGTCTAGGTAAACAACATCTACAGGGGAATGAGAGCTCGGAAAGTGGGTATATAATTCTTATCATAAAGATTGGCAAAGTTCCTAAGGCAGCATGGAAAATGTGATGTCAGTTCTGGAATCCCTAGAAAATTCCTAGAGTGACATCATCAACCCCCCCCCATTTTTCTCCTGCTTCCTCACATTGTTGAAAGCAGGAGAAATGGTAAGCCTTGGCTTTCAGGCACTTGTTAAATGAGCTTTAAAAATTGATGGTCTTGGACCTGAACTCTGGACATGGAGCTCCCAGGATATATCTGGATGAGTTCTCAAATTTCTTTCAGCACTGTCATTCCATTATCTACCATTTATTTATCCAAGGAGCTGTTGCTGGCATAAAGCAGTCTTCTCCATTTTACCTTCACAATAACCATGTGAGGTAGGTTAGGCTGAGAGAGTGATTGTTCCAAGGTTTTCCAGCAAGTTTCATAGTATAGTGGGGATTTGAACCTGAGTCTCTCAAAGTCTAATCTAATACTGTAACCACACATTGTTCTCTTTGACCAACTTTATGCAAACACAAATGCTGCTTTATTTCATG